CCTGGAAAAACATAGGTCCTTTGTGAAATTCCTCAGAGCATGTGCCAAGACAACTCGCGCTGGGGGCAGGATGCCTTTGCAAATTCAGAGGTCTCTCTGCTTCTAGTGTCACTTGGAGTTACAAGTAAACGTGTTCAAAGAATAGCTATTTTTTTTATGGAGGACGTGGGTAAATATGTCCAAAGTTTTTCAGGGGAGACAAAACTATTTTTGCTTACGTGCTCAATTGGCATATTAACTTTTCTCTTGCAAAAGTTCTGCAAAATTGATGGAAACAGTTATGCTTCTTCTGTGTGAAAAGATTAATTTAAAAAAAAAATATGTGTAATTACCCCTTGCAATGATACAGGCTGGGGCTGATGGGGCCAAAAAGCAGCTCAGAGGCATGGCCTGGGTAGTAAAAAAAGGGACAGCAGTGCCTGGGGTGGTGTGAGCAGGACATGGCCCTGAGAGCCATGGGAGGACAGGGACTGTCCTCTGCTCAGCACCTGCCAGACCCCACTCGGGTACTGCCTCCAGTTTGGGTCCCCAACCCAGGAATGACACTGACAAACTGATAGGAGGGGAGGGGAGGCCACTGAGACGGTGGAGCTGGAGCCCTTGTCCTGTGAGGAGAGGCTGCAGGATGGGGGGTGGTTCAGCTGGGAGTAAGGATGGCTTCGGGGACACCCGACAACAGCCCAGGGCATGGAGGAGACGCAGCCGGGCTCTTCACAGAAGTGTGTGGTGGAAGGGAGGGTTAGAGACAGTTGGCACATGCTGAAACAGTGGAAATTCAAACTGACTGTAAGGAAGAAACGTTTTACCCACAAGGAGATCCCATCAGGGGAGCTGAGGCCCAGACAGGTTGCACCATCTCCAGCCTTGGAGGTTATCAAGCCCCGGCTGGAGAAAGCCCTGAGCAGCCTGGTCTGAGCTCAAAGCTGGCTGTGCGTTGGGCAGGGCTTGGAGTGGAGACCTCCTGTGATCTCCTCCTGAGTTATCCTGTTATCCTATATATGACAAAAAACAGTTTGTATGTGTGTGTGTAGGTGTAGTTTTGGTTCCACACGGCGTACAACTTTGTTCTGAGACAGTAACGATAGTATACAGACCTATTGAGAGCATGATCTTTTATTCCAAAAGATCAGCATTAGACTGGAAATACGATGCATAGTGCTCCTATAAAGTAAACTCTAAAAGGCGTATTTGAAATTATTAAAAAGAAAAGCTTCGTTTCTGTGTGCCTGCACAAGAAAGCAAACAATTATACACCTGGACTTGGGAAACAAATAACCAAATTGGAATCCAAACATTCGCTTTTTCACCTTTTCTTATTGCATGTATTTTCCTGAGTAGCACTGGGCATGGTCTTGCTCTGAGATGATAGAATGCCCTTTGCTGGTGTTTTAAATACGTATTTTTTAGTGTAAAGTAGCAGAGAAAAAGTCCTTAAACTTCAAGCTTTTTCTTTATGTTGCTTGAGAAACACGGAGACATTTAATTTTTCTTCTTTACAGGCAGGAAGGTAGTTTAACCTTCAACAAAGAGCTAGTTGCAGTAGTAATCAACCTCTGATTTCTCTATTTGGAGACAGATTCATCCATCAAGTCCTGAGTGCAAAGCTGAGTGCTTACTGAGCACTTTCCTTTATATGTTTGATTACTGGAGCACAGCTGCTGTTTTGAGTAATTAATGTGAGTATAGTACCTTTCAGATGTGTGCTGTGTCTTTATTTCCAAGGTCAGATGACCTCTCTTGCTTATATTGTCTTCCGTCTATGGCATTTTATGTAGGTTATTGATTTTTGTTTGCTTGCTGGAAATAAAGTGCTTTTTGAAGGCCTGGTGAGAAAAATCAGGCAGACCTTCTATCTGCTTAAGGGAAATTCTACTAAGAATAAAAAAAATGTGTTTCTTAGTAGTCTTCCAGCTACCATGTATCAAAAGGAATTTAGTGCTTTTAACCTCCAACTTTAATAGGTGACTCTTTAAATTACTGTCCTAAAGACTGATTGTTAAACAGTCAAATAAATGTACTTGACTTAGACGCTTACTTTTTGTTGAAGATTATGGGTGCTTAGGTGACCTAAGGGCATTTATTGGGATCTACAATTTTATTAGTAAACTTACTTTCTTTTCTGACAATCAAAATTTATCTTTTTTTGAAAATGTCAAAATACATTTGTAAATAATATTTTATCATTTGCAAAATTAAAAAGTGAAATTAAATCTAAATTTAGAGAGGAGGAAGGACAAAAGAAGAGGACCTTTTTCAGTAAAAAGCTTTAAGTAAAGCTTAAAGTTTCCTCCTCATCCCCTCAAAAGACACAACTTTCAGGATATCAGTATTTGAAATTAACCTGAGAGCATTTTCCAAATGAAACAAGTGAAACTTTGAATTTGCAAAAGAAAAACGTTGGGGCTCTCAGGCAGTTTTTAGCAATATTTTCTATAGTTTGTAATCTCTGTAATGTTTCTCTCAGCTAGACATGTCAGCGAGGCAGTCTATCCATAGTATGCATTATGTCATGAGCCTGAGTTAAGACTTCTAAAACAAGATCATGTATTTTCAGATATTATCAGAACTTTCATTGTTGCAATTATTTGATACTTTGTTTGAATTAATGTATAGGTAGTCTCCATGCAGTTAAATTTTGCCTTCTTTTCTAACTTAACCTAATTCAGTTAAAGATGTGGCAGGGTACATGTGATTAAGGATTTCAGAAAGTTGGTTATCATTCGGTGTTTGTGTAACTTCATTTCTTTCAACTAGTACTGCCCTTTTTCTGTGGCTGACCAATAACACTTAGCTGTGAGTCAGGGGCTACTCTGAATGCAACAGATTTAAGGCCAAATTTTTAAACAGTCCTCTATTTTAGCCTAATTCTGTCTATGTTCAAAGGAATGGAAATTTTGTAACTGACTTGAAGAAGGAAATTCTGCTTGGCATGGACTTTTCAAAGGGCTGTTGTCTTCACGTCTTCATCCTTCTTTTTGTGGGTTGAAATGGAAAGTTCTCCAGTATTTGTTGTTCTTGTTCACTTAAATAATATGTCATATGGTGGGAGGAGGAGAGTGTTTGATTTATTTCCTGGCATACACCTCCATACACACCTGTTTTCTGCCCATTCTTTCCTGATTTCTTGGAAGTCTTAGCTGTAAAAGCGTTGTCACTGAACGCTTCTTAATAACATACATTCTTTAGCTGGAAAAAACAAACTGAGTTTTTTCATAGTAATTTTAAAAAAGGATTAGTTTGTGTAGAACATCTTTATCTGTTCAGTTAATGTGATGTATTAGCTGTTATTTTACAACTGCATTTTTGATATACTATATGACAGACTGTACATTTTTCTCTCTTGTGATGAGGGTGAGAAAGACAGGTCTTAAGGATTAAATACAGCATGCTAGATTAGCAAAAGCTAATCTAGCATGGGCTGTTTCTGACAATGAAAAGATCTGTCTGGAACAAGGGCCAAGATGTATTTTGTTTACTTTTTTTTAAGGACTCCTAAGTTTTAAAGGCTAAAACATTAGGCGTAACAAGGACCAGGAGGGGTGTTCACTGAGCTGGAAGCTGCACCCACTAGATTTGCCATGGAAGTACAGCACAAGTAACTCCCACCTAGCCTTGCCTGCCTGTCAACTTTTCTAATAGAGGGCAACTAAAATTACTGTTGTTTTCTCGTCACAACAAGTTATTCGCACCATTCTTGCACAGAGCTCATTTGGGCAGCAAAGTGTCACCTGACCCTCCCTGCCTCAGTTCCGTAGGTTTGGTTCAAGTTCCTTTTTATATTGATGTTACTTTTTTTTAATTGGTAATTGACACATGCTCTTATAGATCCTTCAAGTTAGAAATCTTCCAACAGGTACTTTTTATTTTAGTACTATCGATAAGTCACAGGCTAGAGCTGTATTTTACTTATGGGTTTGTGGTTTGACTTAGGGACCTAAAAGGACATAAAATGTCCATAAATGGGGCATGGTTCAAAATAGCTGAAGCTGTTACATAAAAATGAAACCTTCTGAACTAGATAGGCCTGTTTGCTCTGTGAAACTTGTAGAAGCTAATCTGTATTCATATGAAGGTTTCCTGTTTCTGTGGCCTGCACATTTATTATTATTATCAGACCTCTCTAGTAATTATATTATCTTTTGAGATTTTTACTCAAAGTCAGCAAGGCTAATATGTCTCCCTAGTCTCAGTGTGGTCATGGTTATGAATATTAGTAATGTCTTCACCATGAAAGATGTTTGGTGCAGAAGCCATCTTAAGTGATTATAGATACATTCCATGAAGGTAATTATGTTGTATCTAGCTGTCATGTGCTTCTCTAGTGAGAAGGAAGAGGTGCTGAGCTACCCTGAAAGTGCATTTTTATTTCTAATGATTTTTTTAAAAGTGCATAGGGTGACTATCTCAGCTGAAGATACCATACTGAAGAAGTGTAGTATGCATAGCTGGCATGTATCTGAGCAATTGCAGACTCATGTGATGGGACTAAATCTGTCATTTTACGTTACAGCATCCTTCCTTTGCATCAAGTTAGTGAGTGATAGGGAGAGTGGTGGAGCAAAGGTAGAATATTTCTGTCATATCTCTACCATGGTTGAGCCCCTAGCAAAAGTTAGCTTTTCTAACATGCGTCTGCCAACATCATTGAAATGCCACAGCAGTCCGTAGAAGCTTCTCCAAGGAGTTGCTTGGAAGTGATTCTTCCACAAAGAGTTTGTTCATAGAAGTGAGAAGTGTAGTCCCCAAGGGGATCCTTGTTGGTTGCTGCTGTTGGAGATTATTTGCATGGGAGATCATACTGTTGTGCTGGCTGTCTTCTGACTTCAGAGCTGAAGAAGTCAAATGTTTATCTGCTGGGGAAGGAAGGGTGCCTTTTGTTGCTTCTGTTTATTGACTCAACTTTTTTTCAAGAGTAACGTCAGAGGGTTTTTTTTTATTTCTTTGCAGCTGTGATAGACAAAATGTCAATAGAATAAGTGACCTACCCATCAGAACTTGCCATGAACCATTTGGTTGGACCACCTGAGGGGGAGGTAAGTGAAGAGCCAGCAAATGGAGCAGTGAACGAGTCAGTGGAGGCTGACCTGGAGCACTCAGAGGTGGAAGAGGAACAGCGGTATGCAACTCACTACCCAAGGCATACAAACAGCAGCCAAGGGGGCCTGTCTGGGCAGGAGGAGGAAGGGATGTTAGCTCGGTCAGCCAGCACTGAGAGTGGTTTCCACAATCACACGGATACTGCAGAAGGGGATGTGATAGCCACAGTGGAGGACAGTTACGACGCAGAGAGAGTTCAGGAAAATGAGGATGAGAGCGCATATGCGGTGCAGTACAGACCTGAGTCTGAGGAGTACACAGAGAATGCTGAGGCTGAGCATGGCGAGGCCATTCATAATCGAACATTGCCCAATCACTTACATTTCCATTCCATCGAACACGAGGAAGCCATGAACGCAGCCTACTCGGGGTATGTCTACACACATCGTCTCTTCCACCGAGGAGAGGATGAACAGTATGCTGAGCCTTACGCTGACTATGGACTGCAGGAGCATGTGTATGAGGAGATAGGAGATGCACCAGACCTCGATGTGAGGGAGGGGATCCAGCGGTATGAGCGGGAAAGGGAGGAAGCTGACAATTACCGCAAGGAGGCACTTGGTGCCCGCCTTCACCATTATGATGAACGATCTGACGGAGAGTCTGACAGCCCTGAGAAGGAGGCAGAGTTTGCACCGTACCCAAGAATGGATAGTTACGAACAAGAGGAAGACATAGATCAGATTGTAGCAGAGGTGAAGCAGAGTATGAGCTCCCAGAGCTTAGACAAGGCAGCTGAAGACATGCCAGAGGCGGAGCAGAGTTTGGAGCATGGTCACGCTCTTGCATGTGGGCATGAAAGTAATGGCCAGCTCACAGCTGGTTCTCGAATTACATCCAGCTCGGGAGAACCTGTACAGAGGTACAGCAAGGAAAAGAGAGATGCAATTTCACTGGCCATCAAGGATATTAAAGAGGCTATTGAGGAAGTGAAGACAAGGACCATCCGTTCTCCTTACACCCCTGATGAACCTAAGGAGCCTATCTGGGTGATGAGGCAGGACATCAGTCCAACCAGGGACTCTGACGACCAGAGGCCGCTAGATGGGGATGTGAGTATACAAAGCTTTCAGCTCTCAGGGTATGTATGTCTCGTTCTTTTGATTATGACATACATGGCAGTGATGGAGGGTGCCTTCAGTAAAGTATGTAGTGCTTTATTTTAAATTTGTACTCTGGAGAGCGTGTAAGAGGTAAGCATGTGCATTACCAGTGGGCCAAATTTTTCTTTATGAAGCACTGCTGACTCCAGTTATACCAAACAAGAATTTGTCACATAAGCTCTTTACTTGTTTTTTCTCTGAAACAAATGCTGTTACATGTTTTACTGCCATGGAATATTTTAGAATAGCTACTGAACACTTGTTCTTCTATTATATATACTTGCGTGTTTCTGTTAATTCTAGGTTTCTAAGTTTCATTTTCTGTCACATAACAATCCTACCAGTTCCATCAGAAATCTGTTAGTATTCTATATTATTATATAATATTCTTTATGATGGTATCATAGATCAGGTTCATCTTCTGGAAAAGTTGCAGGTTTTTTGTCCACTTGCAGGCTCTAGAAATGTGTTATGAAACTCCATAGATTGCATTATCAGTGTAAAGTGTATTGACCCTCTAGCAAGCTAAGTATTGAACGCCATCATTTAGATTTACAGCATCAGCATTTCTGAAATTCTGTACTTTTGTCATGAGGCTTAACTTGCATGAGAATCAGTTCCCAGTTTGTGGTTCCAGCTGCCCGTATGATAATCTTTACTTGAAGTTTTATGGGTTTTCTGCATTTCTAATAAAATAAAATCATAAACAACCGTTAACTGCATTAAATTTATGCCTGATACAAAAAGAGCTGGTAGGCTAAATTTACTGGCCAAAATTAGTCTATTACTTCCAAGATAACTGCACTGTGAACATCTGCTCCATCCTCTTTATTGCTGTGGAATGTTTTTTGTCACCTTTGGTTTTTTGGAAGAACACTGAAAATAGAACTTCTCGTGTGTTGTTTGGTGGTTTAAACTGAATTGTTGTAACATTCTTGGAATACATCAGAACTATCCAAAACACCCCAGCTTCTGCAAAGGGAGTTCAGATAGTGAAAAAAGATCACATGCCATGTAGATATATGACAGACTTCTGATGTTTTTTATCTGCCTTCAAAATGATGAAGGCTAGTATTCCACAAATCAGAAGAGATTTTTGGAGCATAGTGTTTGAGTTGCTGAAAAAACATGCAAGCTAATTGAGATGTATAGCTTCCAGATTTTATTTTTTCTTGAAAACTGTTGGACACACAGAGTGATGAGTATGTTTGGGTTGTTTTCTTGTTTCTTCATAGTTTCACTGAAACTTTTTTTTAAACCTGTATTGCAAAAATTATTTCTACAAATATTTTAAAAATTATATTTGTTACAGACAGCTAAAGCAATCTTCCCAGATTATTCTATACGGGAGAACAGTTATTTTTAACTTCTTTAAAAATTTCCAAAAGCTGTGTTTATTTCTCTCCCCTCTTTCAAGTAGATCACGTTAGTCTTTGATGTACATTTTTATTCACCATATTGTCTGTATTTATAAGTGCTGTCTTTGTCCGGGAGGATCAAAGAACTTCCTGTTGCTTCCTGATTGTCTGATTGTAACACCCCAGTACCACGATGGTCTCAGTGACATTAGGTTGGGAATCCTGAGAGCACTGAGTCCTTCCTGAAGGTGCACCAGCTCTCCAAAATCTTGCTGCACCTTGCAGAATTTAACTCTCTAAGGTATGCTGGTGGGACTCAGCCTAGTATGTTCATGTAATAAACAAAACAGATGTTTCCACTGCTCTGTATTTACATTAGGTAATGAGGTACATAGGGGTTTCTGTTTTGCAACAAAAGTGAATTTCTCATTTGATATTTTGCATAGCCTGTCAGATAAGAACCTGACTGAGATTTTCAGTGGTGGCTGTAATCAAAACAGTGATGTATAATGACAGTTAGTATAGCTCAGTGCAAAGATAAATGGTGGTTGTAGACGTGCAGACAATCTGTGTTCTTGGAAAAAGGGAGTAAATTAAGCAAATAGTTTAGAAGATCTTTAGCAGATTGAGGGGAATACATGTTGTAGAAGAAGGGACTTGGAACTGGGTAGGAATTTTGTTTTCCACTGAGGATGAGGTATGTTTTTGCTTTACTGGATGCTTTAGTTCAGATGCCAACTCATGAACAGTCTGAACAATCTGCTTTCTTTAACAAAGCATTCCTAGAATTGCTTAGTAGTAAATTGGGCAAAATTAGGTTGTGTTGACTAAGTGACCATGAGTGATCAATTGTCATAAAAATATTTTTAAAAAAATTTCTGTCTCCCTTGAGAAAGAAACAGAATCTCAGACAGGAGCTTTTCAGTGTAACCAGTATGTGCCAGAAACGTTATTGTCTGATTTGTATCATTGGCCTTGAAATAAGAAGGAATTAAATAGAGTGTTTTACTTTCAGGCAGACACTCTTTTCTTCCCCTAGAAGTATCAAGGAGCTGCAGATAAGTGATGCAAAGTGGGTGCTTTTATTACCTTCAGTTATTTTGCAGGTCTACTTTGAAAATTGTCCCCATGTTGTTTTTTAACAAAACTATTTTGCTGTTAGAGATAGAACTTACTTGAGAATATTTGTAATCATTTTGGGTTGTTAATCATACGATATTGAAACTGGTAAAAACTCTTTAGATCCAAATAGCAGTAACTTTTTACTTAACTAGTAGCTCTCCACAAGAGAACAATGAAGCCAGAGAGTCAGAAGAATGATTTGCAGTTGAAACTCATTAAATACGACAACCTCTTTTGGCTGTTTTCACAAGAAAGCGCCTGTTACTCCTTAGTGCTGAGTATTTGGATGATACATTCACAGCAGAATGTTTGGTGGGATACCAGTTGGAAGTGCCCAGAGACTGTTCTGAGAAGCCAGCAATCCAGAAATATTCAGCTAGCCTGCAGCTGGGTATAGTTGGGACTGTTAGGAAAGACATGCAACCACTGTGATGGTAAGAAAGTTACAGATCACTGTATCCATGTAGTTTTAAGATGCCCTGTATTCAGGTTTATTCACAGTTTAATTTACCAGGATTTTCAGTCATTCCTATGTGTTTCTCCTCAAAAGAAATGTTTGGTAGGTATATGAAAAAAGAAAATGGGCTCATGGACAATTCTACTGTAATAAACTCCAGTAGCCCTATGATGTAGGAGGCACATAGCAGACTTTTGTGAATAAATAAATAGTCTACCAAAGTACTTACCCTCCATTGTTAAATGTTAAGCATTTTCTGTCGAGTGCCTTGTGCAGCTGGTTTAGTGATGCATGCTTTCACCTTAATAAGGGATGGTCTGGGTATCTAGTTTGTGAGGAACGTGTTGTACTTGTATATTTGATAAAAGCTGAAAAATTCTCTCAGTGTCCTTTGAATAAATGCAGTAAGATTATTTTTTTTTAGTTTGCCACACACATGAGATATGAACAATTACATATATTTCCAAAATCTGTTTACCTAAAAACTTTTTAAACCAAAGCAAGCCATCACTTGGTTGTGGCCTCATGAGGCTATCTCTTTCAAATACAATAGCAGTTAGAGCTGCACATCTGCAAGAAATGTGACATCAAGAAACTGACCCATGATGGAAAAGACTGTGGAACTGTAGTTGAGTTGTGTTTCCTGAATGTGAAATGGAGAGTATCTGTTCACATCGTACTGAATAATGTTCATTGCTGGAGACCAGATTGGAGCTTATGATATGCACATGTCTGCGAGTGGTGGAACCCTTTCGTAAAAGGTGTACTTCCAGATGCACACATTTATCTCACTGGAAGGGAAGGCCCATATCCCATTTAGGTAGCTCTTGCCCATCATTCTTCTCTGTCAGATTCTCCACCAGAAGCCTCCTGTGAATATGCCTAGTCAGGCACAGAAACAGTGGTGTTTAAAGGTCTAAATAGAAGACATCTGCAGTGCATGCACCTTGACTTAAGGATGAACACATGTTCAAGTGGAAAAGGGAATAGCTTTGTGTAATATGTATCTCAGAATACAATTAAATATTCTAGGGTATAAACTGTACAGAATGTCTAAATAAACAGCTTTAAAATGTCATAGAGCTTTGAGAGTAGTTGCTTGCTTAGTTGTGGAAGTACAGAGGAAGCACTGAAAGGCACAAAAGCTCAAATAGATTTTTTTTTTTTTTTTTAAACTTAAAGAGCAGCTCTGTCCGCTTATGTCCAGAGAAGCGAAGCAGGCTGCCTGCTTCACTTCTGCCATAAGCAGGAGAAAACAGTGGGTTGTAGGGAGAAATTCTCCATTTCAGAACTAAATGCCATGAGCTTTTTCTGAGGTCCATTCAGTTATCCATGGTGATATAAATCTGAAAGCCAAGTTTTGTTGACCTGGAGGGCATAGTTTGTTGCCGTGTGCCAAGACTTCAGTTTTGCAAAGTTTGTGAACCTCTCATCGATGTTCACAATCTCTGTTCCTCTGCAGATGCTTGAGGCGGTACAACGTTAAAATAAACACTAATATAAAGCCATGTACGTGGATGGTTTGGATTTGTGAAGTAGAAATTCAGAGCTGAAGACAAGCCTTTCAGGTAGAACAGAACTGAGCTGCATTGTTTTCTCTGTTGGTTTTGGTTACATGTATTTTATTTCAACCTTTGAGTTCTCAGTTGCAGGACTTTCTCAATTCTGATTACTCCAGAAGTGAAGTGTTTTCATGGAGATGAATTTGCTTCACTTTTTCCACAGCAGGAGTAATGTATTATTAACAAGGCAATAGAGAAGTCTATTTTAAATAATTAAGCAGGTTTCAGTAATAGATGAACTAAGGGGGGGAAAAGAGAAAGAAAAGAAATGAAATAAAGATGAGTTTATATTGTTAGGATATTGGTTTCCTTTTCTAAGCAGACCTTTTAAAACTGTTGGTTGAGCACACAGAATACAGGTCATCTGTCTGTCATCTGTGTGAGAGCACAGTCTTAAAATTATACAGAAAAAACCCGCCCCAAAAGCCCCACACCAAAAATCATTTAAAGAAAACCCCCACAAACAAAAAGCATTTTAATATCAAGGGCTGACAGCTTTATGCTGATTCATCAATCACACAGAAGACAGCTTAAATGTATTGAAGACAAACGGTCTCCAGATGAGTTATGGGCTTTTAAATTACAGTGAGCACTGGATACATAACCCCTTGAATTTTTTTTTTGTGTGTCATTGTTTATTGTGGTTTTTAATCATTGAAAGATCAAAGTGATTTCAAGTGACTTTTCTGTGCTGTTGAAAACTAGAACAGCACTTGTTACAGTTAAAGTCTTTTGAAAACACTGGAGGGATCTACACTAATTTTCTCAGACTGACACATGAAGCTGCATTTGAACTACAAGTTCCAGTGAAAGTACAGCTTAGGAAGTCCATACCTGAGAGAGATAAACAGCCAGGACTGAAGCAGCTTCCAGGAGCCCTGCTGCGCTGGCAGCCTTCCATCCAGTGTCCGTGCTGCTGGACAGACCCTACCTGCATAGCGCCTGTGTGTGTGATCTGACAGGCAGTCAGAGTCCGTACAGCCTAAGATTTTATTCAATGAGAAGTTACAGCTCAGAAGGTGTGACTGTGATACCACATGGTTAGCGCTACTGACTGACGTGGCCAAGAGACTCTGAAATGGGCAAATTAAAGGGTCATCTTGCCTTAACAGACTGAGTTACATTTATTGTTTGCTCACTCAGACTTTTCTGTGTCAGATCTAAACCTCTGTGTATTCTTAGTATATTTTTACTTTGTATTTGAGACTTAGTAATATAATAGTTAACAGGTGGGGGTTTTTCTTCAAAGACTTTGACAGAGCTACACAGTTATCGTTTAGGTCAAAATCTCTATTTTTGTAACTTCAGTGAATTTTACTGAAGAGTTACAACTCAGGGTTGGTGTGCAGACACTCATGGACAGTGGGTTTGTTTTAAAAAAGCTAGTTTATTCAGAGCTTTTGCATAGTGTAACGTGTGAGCAGTCAGATTTCTCAAGTGGGACTGTCAATTATTTTTCAGATAGTGGCAAGTGGCAGGAGGCTCCGTCCTTGCAGGGCATCATTAGTTGGATCGGGGGAGATTCCCCAAACTAAGACTCCCCAAACTGTATTTGTTCTCAGGTCTTACACACAGCTGGTCTGTGATCCTACATGACCACTCTAGCACATGTGATCCATTGCTATAGTTTACCTTAAGCTACATACAAACCACTTCCTATGTTAACTGTGTACATAAGACTGTCATACATGACCTTATCTGCATCTGCAGGAATAGTTTCTGTTGACTACAAGCAAGTACCTTATCCATGTACTGTTTGGTCATTTTTGCAGCAGAAACTGTGTGTGGGAGCTGTTGGGTCAGCCGGAGTCTCTACCCAGGGTGGTAGTTAGCACCCTGAAGCCATGAGTGGTGCTTGTCACTCATCATATGTACAGGAGGAGCCTTTTGGGGGAATCTCAGAGGCTGCCTGAAATTCTTGTTTGGAGAGATCCCATAGCTATTAGTTAAGTGCTTTGTTCTGAAGTGAGCAGTTTATGCAGTTGCCTTGTCTCAGGTCAACTCCTTGTATCATCTGTGCAGAAAGTGGCAGGGGATGGTTCCTGGACCACCCAGCAAACTGATGGGTAGGTGCACTGGGTATGTGCAGAGGCAGTTACACCACAATTACAATTACGCCACAACTGCAGTACAAACTTAGGTTTCATCCTTGTGTCAGAGTTATAAATTAAATTGCATAGATTATGCCACAGTAGGCGTGTCTGTGTACAATAGTTCTGAGTTGGTTTTATTTTTTCAAACCCTCCATTTTTAACACTATATTTAAAGCAAATTTAAACAAAGACAACTGATAATGATGAGTAGTTATATTGTAAGGAAATTTAGCTTTCAGCTTCATTCTTTAAGGGTACTTTATGCCATCTAAAAGCCATGAACATATGTTGATGGTCTCAGTCTACATTTTAGTGAGTAGAATTTGACCTGTTCAAATCACGGTAGATATTCTGCCACAACATAGTTGTGCTAAGAGATTTACTGCCACAGTTTGTACTATATGGGGCAGTACTTGTGAAATTATGCATCTGAGTATACTTGCATGTTGGGCCTAAGTATTTCATAGTGATTTGACCTTTGCCTAATGTGTGTGAGTACTTCTCAGAAGACTTTTTATTACTGAAATCAAATAAATTTAAAAGCCTTGCTTTATCCAGTTGTCTCCTCTGAACTAATGTACCGGTAGACTATGTTTGCCATTTTTCTGCCAAGGAACAGGTAGATGGACATTAGTGTCATATAAGTAATGGCCTCTTGTTTAAGTGAATCTTGCATTGCTGAAGTATTTGTTGATTTCATCCCCTCTGTCCCAGCCTTGTATGCGATGATGTGACCCACTAGGTTATACTCTTTTCAGATAAGCTGCTGCTAAAAATAGGTAAAACACACTGCCTTTATAAAGCAAGAGCAGGTGGTTATATCTGAAGGTGTTTCAGTGTCAGTTGTTTGTCTTCATGAGCTATTCAGTAACCAGCTAGGTTGACCTGTATAGGTTAGATGCAGTGCAATGCAACACAACCCTCTCCTGTTACAAATTCTGTTACTAAATCCCTCTGCACAATAGCAAGGAAGGTTTCTTGAGTGGAGTGGGTTGCATGTTAGTTGGAGTCAAACAACGCTAAAACCGAGATGGAGAATTTTTGGATGTACCAGATTGAGTATCGTAAGAAAAATGTAAGTAGATTTTCAAGAGGAGAAATGGGGTAACTAGTACTTTTTTGTTGCTGCATTTAAGAAAACATTTTGTAATTCTATTGATGGACCTCTCTACGTAAAATAGCATGCTTGACATGAACTTACTATGTTTGTTCTGACAGCATTTTTGTTCAGCTTCTAAAACTTGTTTTGTTAACAGACAATGAAGCAGTCACTAAGCATTTATTTTAGACTTCAGTTGTAGTGTTTTGAGCAGCTATGCAAGTTGTCTATCCACTATGATGTAACAAAATATTTCTTGTTACTGCTGTGACTGCATTCTCTCCTTGTGTATTGCATATAATACTTCTAAAAATGTATTTTGATGCAGAAGAGTGGAGTGTTTATTCTTCAAAGACTGAACTTTTTTGTACAAATCTTTTTGAGGACTGCTCTCATGTCATATCCTGTAGCAAACTTTATGGGATGTTTGATATTTGAGTTTGGTAGTTTGGGTTTTGGGGGTTTTTTCCCAGAAAAAAATTGAGCAGACATCCAAACAGAGCACATGGAAAGCTGTGTGATCGTTTTGATGGTTGCTTAATTCTCATACTTTGTAGATGAAAGTAGCTGAGGAAAGGTATTTGTAGTGCTACTGGAGTAACTGTTAATACATTTTAAATAGTGCAAAATTTCTTAATGTCAGCAACCAAATCATTTAAATGAAATAATTTATTGTTACCTCTTTAGTGTGTGAATATGAGGAGTTTCCGGCATTTTAACAAACTTTTTTAAAGAAAAAACTTTATGCTAAAGTATTATATACTTTATTTTGCTTCTTTGTTTACTATTTAAAGCTCAATCCTACAGTATCCTGATGCCATTTTTAAGGTTGATAGTATTGTGCACCTTTTATATTTAATCCTAATAGAGAAATCCTATGTAACTGTTGGGAATGTGAGCACTATGAGGATGCTTTCTTAAGTAAATGTGCGTTGCCATTTGTGCAGTTGAGTCACCATGGCACTGTTACTCTGGTAGTTACACAGCAAGTCGGGGGAGCCTGTATGTCTCCCACAGCCCCTGCATGAATGAAGGTAGGGCAATGAGCAATCCCTCAGTCTGATGGTGCAAGCACATGCCAGGGACTGTTTCACAGCTGCATCTCCTTTTTTGCCCTGCAGTTGTAATTCAAAATATAGGGAGATGCAAGGACTCTTTTTTACCCAGGAGATATCTGTAAAAGGAATTGCTTCTTAACTCTTTGGAAGCCTTTATTAGTCCACTATAATTCTAGTATTTTATCATTAGCCAAGATAGACCTTTTAAAGGAATGAGGGTAAAGAACAAGAGGAGAAGGGAATTTCATTTTCTTCTTTGTTCCATATCTGTGAAGCTAAGCTTGCAAAACTTAGATTTTTTTTTTTTTTCGCCACACACACTATTTCATAGAACTCAATGTTTCAGCTGGAGTAGAGGCACAGCAGGAGGGCATTCCTAGATTCGAGGTGCTGCCAGTTCAGAGCACTGGAAGTGTAGCCCTTTTCTGGTGTGACTCATTGGCTTAGGCAAAAGCCATGTCATGTAATTGTTTCTGAAACCAGAAGAGTAGTATTTGATTGTGTTGCCATCAGCAATGAACTGTTGAGCTCACAAAGCTTGGGACAAAGTCCTGATTTCAAAGGACAGTCTACAATGCCAGAGCTGCTGGGCTAAACACCCAGTTTGCATAGCTAAACGGTAAACCTTCCTTTGAGGATTCACATTTTGGCATGCACACTCACATGTTTTGCAGGTATCTCCTTAAGATCTGCCTGTAAAAATGCCTGCTGGGTTGACACTTTGTACTCTCTTTCATTTTTCATTCCTTCATTAATTCCACACTCTGTGTTCTTGTGTCCTATCCCCATACCAGTCCTCCCTGCTCTGGACTTTAGATACCTCACTACAGCTTTTTAGTATCACCAGCATTCATTAGGAATTGCCTGTGCTTACAATATCTTTTCCCAAAGCATTCTTTCCTTTTACCAAGATACTTGCTGATGGATCACATAGATGTATATATTCCATGATCCTCCCTTGCTGTGCTGTTCCCTTTGTTTTCCTGCTATGACATTTTTGATGATCATGAATGACTAGGACATGATTGGAAAGACAGTTTTTCCACTGCATTGTTTACAATGAAGGGAGAAAAATCAGGAAATCTGATCTAGAGAGCATATATAATACTAAGATAATAGCATAAACTGTGAAATATTTTCTGAATTTGTGCTGTATCTAGGATGAGGAATCATAGTCATTGATTACGCTGGTATGGAGTAGTCCCTGAATATATTCATAAGTCCTTGAATACGTTAGTATTACTCTGCACAATTTATAAAAGTTGTTTTCCTAGATGATGGAATAACTTTTATGGACAACCGCTGAAGCCTACCTCTGCTTAAATTAGATTATTTTAGCACTTCTGGTTAATTATACCTGAGAGCATGTGTACTTACGGGGAAATTGCAGTCTTTTCCTCAGTCTCCCCAATTTGACAACTAAGTAAGCTTCAGCTGCATCCCTGTGTTCCAGTCATGGTCAATTCATCTGTCTCCCATCACAGCTTACTACTTAGTGACTTTATCTTTTCTTTCCTAGAATGGCAGAGCTTAGGACATCGGTCTGCATGCATTGCCTGCAGCCTTCAGTAAGCTCACAGTCATTAGCCTGCATGCAATAGGCATGTACTTGTGCAACTGAAAGTCTTGTAATTGCTAGTTGAATGCTGATAGCAAGTGTAAGGAGGTGGCTTAATACCAATATCAGATGATCCTCGATTCACCTTGCAAAAATACAGTTTTATGATGTACTTTTTGGCTGAGTATTGCTTGCCACTGAGTACAGTTTTTTATTTGCCAACTGCTTCATTTCATACATTACTGACAAATAAACACAGGTGTTTTAAAAAAGATTCAACTGTTCAGAATGAGTCCACTGAGATACTGTATGTCATTATGATAAAATGCAAGGGTTACAACATTTTAAAAGTGTTTGTCTTGTTTGGGTTGGTTTTTTTTTTTTCTCCCCTCTCATCTCTTATTTCCACTGCCAAGTTAGAGGAAAACATGAAAGAACAATTTCTACACTGGTCACTCAGATTGTTATTCAATTTTCTTGCCATGTCTAGTCTCCATCTCCAGATTCCTCTTCACCTCGGGGTGCTGAATCGTCAAGTAGGCAACATCACCAAGATGTCTGCACTACAGCAGAGGCCTCCACTAATAAAGAGGTAGAGTGAAATCCGTCTTAAAAGCCACAGTCTTGTTCATGCTATTTATGCCTCTTTATTTTCCTTGCCCCCTTGTACCTGTGCAATCCCTTCTTTTCTTCCAAAATTGCAACAAACTTGAAAATATGATTTGTAGATCCTTTCCCTTATGCTTGCCTGACTGTCTGACTGAATTTCTAACATAGTTAAGACTTTATCATGGAATTTCTGACTCTGTGTTCAGCTGCTACTAAATTTATTTAACTGCCTGGGAGGTATTGGTTTACGAAACAGCCAACATCACCTCTATTAGAGGCAAGACGAAGAAACCCTTTTCTTCTTTCCATGCAGAATGTCTTCCCGTAAAGAAAAGAATATTTCTCAGCCAGATGAAAATGCTTGCTTAAATAAAATGAATTAGGTCGTAGTTTATGCTGCTTAAATATTTTGCCATTGTCGAAACTGACCTGCCAGTGATTCACAGAGTTCAGTGCCCGACTCCTGGCTCCTCAAAATAAAGCTGAATACTTACTTTCTGGGGTTTTTTTCTTTCTTTTTTTAAATTTTTTTTCCTCACTTGGCAGCTTTTTACACTGCAGTAGTTCCACCAACACAAAATGAGAAGTGTGAGTAGAACTTTTCACAGCATGAAAAGAAAATCATTTGGCATAAAAAGTACTTGGATTAGTATAGAATCACTGGCTCTGCAAACACAAAAATCTGCAAATATTTGGTTTATTCGCTTTTTGGTTTTTAAACTTAAAAAAATCTATGAACGGTAGTCTAACAAGATACCATATTGTTACTGATAGCAATGCATGAGTTATCTTCCCTGATGAAAAAATCTGATCTACTATAACTGGAAATACTGATCAAAATTGAAACACTAATTAGTATTCCATTCTTTCTTTTTTTTTTCTTTTGTTACTATCAAAGGATAAAAAAGCTTGTAACATATATGTATTTGTGCCAGCCTATATTTGCATTTAGAAAATAATGAAAGGTTTCAAAAGACTTAAGAAACTCAGTCTAAGTTTCTTAATGTGCTAAAGCCTTTAACAATAGATTATGCCATTATATTTTCATCTGCTGTACTGTTAACTTGTTAAAGCCTTTAGCTTTCTTCAGTACGGATTTTTCACTTCATATATATCCTAACTTTTAGCAGTTTTCATATATTGATAAACATACCCAAAGGAAGAAAACAAACAAGACACTACTCATTTCAGGTTTTAGAATGTGTTCACGCTTAATTTCAGAGGTGATAAGCCAAATTTCAGAATAAGATGTGCCAGGCTGTTTGTTTCCCTCCAGTGAGCAATAATGTCTGCTTTAGTACTTCCAATGCAAGAACAACAGTGATAAAGCAGCCTCATAATTTTGGGGAATGACTTTTAGGTCTTAGTAAAACCTTTTTTTAAAATATAAATTTTGTAAGACTTGGTGGCAACAAGATTAACAAGAGTAATGAAACATTAATGACCTTGACAGTTCATTATTCATGGATATGTAAAATTAAAAGGTATAGGTTTCCTCCTATTGGTAACTTTACCTTTTACCTTACTATTTCTGTGGTTTCAGTAGAATGTCTTTCACCACGGGTAATGAACAAAAAAAACCCCTTAATCTTGTGTGTGAGGTTTTTGCAATAAAAACATATATAATGACAGTTTACACCACTCTCTCCTGAAAAGTAGTTGCATTAGCTAGTCAGATTGCTGAAAAGTTGCCAAATCTGTAGTTACTGACTTTGTTCTCTCTGTTTAAAAAAAAAAGAAAAGTATTTGGAAAGGTCATTGATACGCATGAGCTGTCTCTAGTGTGTGTTGTCCTCTAGGCCTGCCGGAGTCGGAGTCCAGTAGTTGAATTTCCCTCTTAGCACTGCACCAGCAGCAATTACAAACAATTGTTGAAGTCTGTATGAGTAGGTGGTCCAGTAAAAACATCCATCTGAAGAGATGAAAGAGCCAGAGATCTGAAAAGGCATGTCAGTGCCCTCACAGCAGCTTAAATGCTTTGGCAGCGGGAGATCGTTGTTTATTGACATCTTTATTTATGCTAGTACAATCTCTGATGGAGAACTTTCTTGGTTTTGCAGTACAGCTGAGTCATTTTCATAAAGAACAGCAAGTACTTAAAGGCTGCAAAGGCCCTGTGTCATGCACCTTTTGTTTTTATTTCACAAGTTGTTTTATTTTCTAGCAAGACAAGCATCACTGGTTGGAAAATATTACTTGTTGCATCCATTTTCTATTTGTTGCAGTGGAAAACACTCCATGGGGTTAGTCACTCAACCTGTCATGGAACTGTGACCTTCCTAGTTTACATGAGTTTTCCACTAATACACAGAACCCATCATAAAGGAAAATAATTTGGCATATATTTCAATGGATATTGACTGGAAATGTACTGGAAATTGTCTAAGATATTGTGTATTATTCTAAACATATATAGATTTCTTTTAATAAAACTGTATTAACCAGTCATTGGAGGAGTTACTGCTAATGGAATCAGTTGTAGATTCATTAATGTTTTGTAATCCTAGGACTATCCAAAATTCTTATCTGCAACACATAAGATGGCAGCAGATATTTCAATATACTTGTTACCATCTATATATTGCCACGTAGAATTTTCTTTGATAAATTTTCCTATGTGTTTTATGTTACTGATAATAACAAAATGATGAGTCTTACTCAATGAAAGTTGTAGCTTTCAGGTGTTTGAAGTGTTAGCCACAGAGTCTTTCACAAAAATTGCAGTCGGAAGTAAGGTCTTACTTTAGACTTACATATGCAAGTCAGGATTTTTTTTTATTTGTTCACCTTTTATGAAATTGAAACTACCAAATGTGGTTTTGTGCTTCATACTTTGTAAACATAGTTGGTGATCAAGTGTTAGTGAATTTGGTTACCCCACAGAATACAGGTTGCTACCTAACCTGTTAAAATTTAGAAAACTTTTTGTAGGCTGTATTAATGTGAGGGATACATCTAACAACAGTCCTAATAAATAACATAATTTGGTTAATGAATAACTGACTTGGCTGATGGTTTCAGTTATGAATAATAACAGTATAGCATAATTTTATATATTGCTGCATGTATTTATTTGTAGTTGCAAGATCCGGTGTCTTTGAGACATGATGTATTTTCCTGCATACTTCTTGATTAGTAAAAGTAGACCATGTATTGGTAGACAGTTAATATACTCCTAAACACCAACAAATAACTGAAAACTGGGCCTAGCATGTTGCCTGATGGATAAAGACACAAACGGAACATATTGAATTTAACTCCAGTAGATGCTTAGATTTTGAAAATGCTAAATATAATAATAAATCTTAATAAATGGTGATCTTCCTTTGCTGATAACTATGACTGATTTGCTTTTTTTTTGGCATGGAGAAATTTTTAATGCATGTTTGTGTATGCTCTGTTTGAAATCCTTTTTGTCTTAATTACAGTCCAGAAAAAGCTTGGCTTCATTTCCAACCTATGTTGAAGGTAAGATAGTTCTACAGTTTCTAAATGTTGTTTCATATCTCAAAAACTCCGATATTTACAATGTATAAAATTTATTTTTATTTGCAGAATAGAAAAGCTGCTAGAGGTGGGTATACAGATTTAAATTAAATTGTATTAAATCTGGAACCTGAGCTAAATCCTACTATAGTCTTCCAGAAGTTCAGAAACATGGAGCTTTTATATTTTTAGTGTTTTGTTCATAGTTTCTGTCTCAGTTCTGCTGGTTTTTTATCAGTATCACTTTAAAACTACTAATTTTTTAATGGTATTTACACAACATGTGTGAAGATGTATGTCCTGTCCGAGCAGCCAGGGATCAGGTTAGGAAAGCCAAAGCCCTGATAGAAATTAGTCTGGCCAGGGATATCAAGGACAACAAGAAAAGCTCTGGCCAGGGATGTCAAGAACGAGAAAAGCTTCTCTAGGTATGTCAGTGAGCAAAGGAGGACAAGGGAAAATGTGGGTCCCCTCCAGAATGAAACGGGTGACCTGGTTACCCAGGATATGGAGAAGGCTGAGGTACTCAATGACTTCTTTGCCTCAATCTTCACTGGCAATTGCTTGAGCCACAGTGCCCAGGTCATAGAAGGCAGGGACTGGGAGAATGCAGAACCACCCACTGTGGGAGAAGATCAGGTTCAAGAATATCTAAGGCACCTGAAGGTGCACAAGTCCATGGGACCTGATGAGTTGCATCCGTGGGTCTTGAGGGAGCTGGCGGATGAAGTGACCAGGCCACTCTCTATCATATTTGAGAAGTCCTGGCAGTCTGGCGAAGTTCCAGCCAACTGGAAGAGGGGGAACGTAACCACCATTTTTAAGAAGGGTAAAAAGGA